GTGACTGATCCAATCAGTACAGCACGGTCCTCAGCACAAACAAGACACTTTAGTTGTGGTCTGAATACAGCTGGCTGTGCCGAGTGTCGTTGACCTCACTCCTATGCAGCCACCATTAAATCAGTGGTCATACAGCCATTACTCCAGGAACCTCTGAAGGAACATTAGGGTTCCATGGAACCCTGGTTGAGAATCGCTCCTCTGTTGGGTTTCTGTTGCTGTCTGTGTTCCCACTATTTGTCCTGCTGGCAATTATTATTATGCAGGATTTATATAGCGCAAACAGTCTGTGCAGGGCTTAACAAAATGTCACTAAGACTGAATTTAGGGAAAATCCAAATTTTAGGATGTCACCAGAACATGGAAAAGTTTAAAAAGGTGACACTTGTTCTGGTGACAACTGTCTAAGAGAGGATGTTTCTTCACTTTGGAGAGATTTCCTCCCATCATTTGTTGCGTCTACAGGACAGGAAGTACAGGGAAATTTCCCCAATGTGTCACAAACTACAAAACCAAAAGACTAAAGGGGGTTTTCCCATTTCCTACTCTATTAAAAAAAATCAACAATTTGCTTTTGTTATAATTGAAAGCAGGAATTATATTTTTTGAACACATATTAATCCAGCTTGGCTCGAACTAAGTATCCATAGCTGATATCTGGAGGGATGCTGGGGGTGCTAAAAGTCACTGTAGTTGTCTGCACCACATAAAGTGATAGTTGTGATCTAATGGGTGACACTCCAGCGGCCCTCTTCACACTGAACCCAGGAGGTTGCCCGCTCAGCACCACTGCCATTCAGAGAACACCTTATATATTTTTTTTCATTAAATACAAAGGGTTCTGTCACTTACCTGGATAGTGAGCCTGACATGAAGAGGCAGACCTCTCATACAACTCCGGCTCAAGGACCGCTGATGGTGAGACAGCGGTCACAGGGGCACGGTGGGGTATGTGTGCCTGGGATCAGTCCAGTAGTAGCGGGTAAGCTGATGAGTTGTAGGGAGGAAGCAGGGTTCTGATGTAGCCGTGCTGGATGGATCCCGAGAGCAGCGTGCTGAGGATGCAGGGACAGACGAGCCGGGTTCGGTATCGGTCAGGCAGATCAGGCTTAAAGCGACAGGAGGAAGAGTAGTCAGGTCACACGCCAGGGCAGTAAGGGAGGATCAATCAGACAGGAGCGGAGACAGAAGAATAATCCAAGGCAAGCCAGAGGTCAGGGCAGGTAGAATTCAAGCGTAGGTCAGGAACAAGCTGATTCGGTATCAGGAGACAATCACAGGAATCAGGGAACACGAGCAGGGAAAAGACCATACGGCAATGGGACAACTGCTGCAGCCAGTTTAAATAGCCCTTTGGGCGCCAGCATTAGTGACAGGCGCGTGCGCAAGTGTGCATGCGCGTGCCCACGTGTCCACTATGTCCAAGTGCCTGCACATCTGTTTGGCTCATAAGGACTCTGCGCATACGCATATTTGTGCGCCGTGGAACTTCACCTGCACTATGGGCAGGCCTTTCCTGACAGGTTCTCTGATTGGACGAGCTGGAGAGGAGGGACAGATGACATCTCAATCTCCACCTTATGCAATCAGGGGGTGTCTTTTTTTAAAATAATTTTTATTTAGTATAATAAATATAAAAATGCAGCGCTATACTTGCCTTTAGCGCTTGATGTCAAATCACGTACATGTATGCCATTTGGTGTTAAGTGGCTGTACTGGGATGATAAATGTAGCTTCATGCAGGCATCATCCCGGTACCATTTTTTAGAGCCGACGGTCTAAAAACAAGCAGCTGGAGGGGACACCCCCACCGAGACACCCGATCAACCAGTCCGTGCTTCTGCCGGCTGATCACAGAGCCGAACAAGGAGGGGAACCACTCCGTTCGGCTCTGTGATATAGTGAACTGGAAACGATGACCTTACATCACTTCCTATTTATCTGGATGTAAACGGCACCATTTTTAAAAATGAAAAGCATGTGATCAAATACTTTTAAGGGCAGAAGAGGGATTTGGGGGTCTTATTGACCTCAGAACCCTCCATAAAGAGTACCTGTCACATGTCTATTGTTGTCACAAGGGATATTTACATTTCTTGTGACAGCAATAAAATTGATAAAAAGAAATTAAATTGACAGTGTAAAAATAAAAATTAATAAAAAAAAAAAATCCAAGTGCTCTCATTCCCTTGTGCTTGTGCGCAAATGCAAATGCACTCATCAATCACGCACTCAGGCAGTGATCATGGTTTTCGGGTCAGCGGCAGGGGCCCCCAGACATTCCGGCAGTCTTGGATTTTTTTCAGGAAGGGGCAGATCGAGGTCTCTCGATCAGCACCCTAAAGGTACAGGCTTCGGCCCTAAGCATTTTTCTGCAGGTCCCCCTTCAGCAGAATCCTTTTTGTTGTGGACTTCTTCAGGTCTCTTTCCAAGTCAAGACCAATGAGGGTCAAGACTTGTCCAGTTTGGGACCTATCCTTAGTCCTGAAGGCTTTCATCCGCAAGCCTTTTGAGCCTTTGGAAGAATCTACGGTTAGGATTTTGACTTTAAAAGTGGTGTTTTTGATAGCTATCACGTCAGCCCGTAGGGTGAGTGAATTACAAGCTCTTTCTATTAGGGAGCCTTATCTGACCGCTTTTGAGGACAGGGTCGTCCTCAAGACGGATCCAGGTTTTATCCCTAAAGTATCCTCCTCCTTTCACAGGTCTCAGGATATAGTCCTACTGACCTTTTACACTTCTCCTGAAGGTAAGGAAGAAGAAAGGCTAAGTTTGCTAGATGTAAGGAGGAGTCTTATGATTTATCTTGATCTTGGGAATTTAGAAAGTCAGTTTCCCTTTTTGTTTTCTGGTCAAAAGAAGGGTTTCGCAGTGTCCAATTCCACTATAGGTAGATAGATTAGCTATCGGGGAGTTTTAAAAAATTTAAGTATTCCTCCCCCCTTTGTTAAAGCCCACTTGACGAGATCCTTTGAAGCTTCTTGGGTAGAGAGGGCCGGGGCTTCGCCAGAGCAGATCTGTAAGGCAGCCACCTGGTCAAAGTTCTCTACCTTCGTCAAGCATTACAGTGAAGCACGGAGGTGGAAACATTATGCTTTGGGGCTGTTTCTCTGCTAAAGGTACAAGCCAACTTTGCCGCATTGAGGGGCCAATGGACGGGGGCCATGTATTGTATTCTTCCCTCAACCAGAACACTGAAGATGGGTCTTCCAGAATGAAAATGACCCAACACATACGGCCAAGGCAACAAAGGAGTGGTTCAAGAAGAAGCACATTAACCTCTTTACGCCGAACTCAAGCAAACATCTGGGGCCTTGACGCCGACTGGCCGCACATTTGCGTGCAATTAAAAAAAAACGTGCTGAGTGCGCGCGCCCCCAGCACACGTCCGATACTCACGGAAAGGTCCTGATCTCCTCTTGTGATCGGGACCTTTCCCGATCATGTAACAGCAAATCATGGCAGTCACATGACCCTAAAACCCCACCCGCCTTCTGAAACCCTTAAAGGATCGGGAGGTGCCGGTGCCAAGGGATTAAGGTTCTGGAGTGGCCTAGCCAGTCTCCAGACCTTAATCCTATGGAAAATTTATGGAGGGAGATGAAACTTCCAGTTGCCAAGCGACAGCCAAGAAACCTGAATGATTTGGAAATCATTAAAGAAGAGTGGACCAAAATCCCCCAAGATGTGTGCAAACCTGGGAACCAACTACAAGAAACATCTTACCTCTTCTGTGCTTGCCAACAAGGGTTTCTCCACCAAGTATGTTTTGTTTGCGGATCAAATACTTATTTTGGTCACAGAACTGCGAACTCAATTTATATAATTTGTATCATGTTTTTTTCTGGAGTTTTGGTTAACATTCTATCTCTGTCATTTAAAATACACCTCTGATAAAAAAAAATTACAAACCTTTCATTTCTTTGTAAGTGGGCAAACTTGCAAAATCTGCAGGGGATCAAATCATTATTTTCCCCACTGTATTTAAAGGCATTTACAAATTCAGATGCTAGAGGGCAGCAGATCGCAGCGCAAGCAAACATCTGGGCCTTGACGCCGAGTGGCCATACATTTGCGTGCAATTAAAAAAACGTGCTGAGTGCGCGCGTCCACAGAGGAGATCAGGACCTTTCCAGATCATGTGATAGCAAATCACGGCAGTCACGTGACCCTAAAACCCCACCCGCCTCCCGGCTTCTGAAACCCTTAAAGGATCGTGAGGTGCCGGCACCAAGGGGTTAAGGTCCTTGAGTGGCCTAGCCAGTCTCCAGACCTTAATCCTATGGAAAATTTATGGAGGGAGATGAAACTTCAAGTTGCCAAGTGACAGCAAAGAAACCTGAAGGATTTAGAGATCATTAACCACTTGCCTACCAGGCACTTATACCCCCTTCCTTACCAGGCCAATTTTCAGCTTTCAGCGCTGCCGCACTTTGATTGACAATTGCGCGGTCATGCAACATTGTACCCATATGAAATTTTGATCATTTTTTTCTCACAAATAGAGCTTTCTTTTGGTGGTATTTAATCGCCACTGGGCGCTTTACTTTTTGCGCTATAAATTAAAAAAAGTGCAAAAAATTTGAAAAAAAAAAAAAAAAAAGTTTATTTGTTTCTTTTATAAAATTTTTCAAACAGGTATTTTTTCTTCTTCACTGATTTGCGTTGATGAGGCGGCACTGATGGGCACTGATAGGCGGCACTGAGTGGCACTGATAGGCAGCACTAAAGGGCACTGATAGGCAGTACTAATGAGGTGGCACGGATAGGCGGCACTGATAGACAGCACTAATTAGGGGTCACGGATAGGCGGCACTGATATGCAGCACTGATAGGTGACACTGATGATGGGTACTGATAGACGGCACTGACTGGCATCACTTCTGGGCACTGACTGGCGGCACTGACTGGCACAACCCCTGGGCACTGACTGGCAGCACTGCTGGGCTGCATTGGTGGGCGGCACTGGTGGGCAGCACTGGTGGGTGGGCACAGGTGGGTGGGCACAGGTGGGTGGCACTGGTGGGCACAGGTGGGTGGGCACAGGTGGGTGGTGACTGCTGGCACATGTAGGTGGCACTTCTGGGCACAGGTAGGTGGCACTGCAGAGTGGCACAGGTGGGTGCACTGCTGGGGCACAGGTGGGGGGCACTGCTGGGCACAGGTGGGGGCACTGCTGGGCACAGGTGGGTGCACTGCTGGGCATGGGTGGGGGGGCTAGTGGGCGCACTGCTGGGCGGAACTTTCCGGGTGTCACTGCTGGGCACCGATCATCAGGGCACTGATCATCAGTGCCCTGATGATCGGTGCCGATCCCCGCTCTGACAACTGCCGGTTCTTGGCAGTACTTTCCTCACGATCTGACAGCGTGAGGAAAGTGCAGCCGAGAACCGGCACTTGCATCTCCCTGTGATCAGCGTGTCATTGGACACCGCTGATCACGTGGTAAAAGGCCGGTGGGATCGGCCTTTCACCACATCACGTGATCAGCTGCGGAGATCACCGGGTGCGCGCCCCCTGGGGCGCGCAGGAGAGCGCGTTCTGGGAGGACGTCATATGACGTCCACTCAGAACTGGCCGGCCGCGGTGAAGCCGTCATTCGGCTATGCGCGGTCGGCAAGAGGTTAAAGAAGAGTGGACCAAAATCCCCCAAGATGTGTGCAAACCTGGGAACCAACTACACAAAACATCTTACCTCTTCTGTGCTTGCCAACAAGGGTTTCTCCATCAAGTATGTTTTGTTCACAGAACTGCGACTCAATTTATATCATTTGTATCATGGGTTTTTTCTGGATTTTTGGTTAATATTCTGTCTCTGTCATTTAAAATACACCTCTGATAAAAAAAAATTACAGACCTTTCATTTCTTTGTAAGTGGGCAAACTTGCAAAATCTGCAGGGGATCAAATCATTATTTTCCCCACAGTATTTACAGGCATTTACAAATTCAGACGCTAGAGGGCAGCATATCTCTACACTGGCACAGCAAATGCAAATTAAAAGCAAATGCAAGAATGAGACACTTGAAAAAAAAAGCATCAGCATATACATGTGACTACTGGCAAACTTGGAAGGGATGTACCTAGGCACAATATTACATAGAATGATGAAAGAATGTATTGTAGCGCTCGGGGTGCCCATGCTCAGTACTCATTCTCCCCATGCTCAGTGTTACGGTGACTGGCTGTGCCGCGCTCCATGGTCCTGCGCTGGCTCATGGCTTTCTCTCTCTTCACTGCACAAAACAGGATTTCCTGACTCCCAGCAATGCATCCATGAAGCCTGAACATGTGACCCCAAAAACGCAGTGCATTTTCAATGTTTTTTGTTGTGTTACCATTGAATTCTATGGAAGGTGACAGAACCGAAGCACAAATGCAGCACACTAATGTGAACAGCTACATATGATGTAAACACTTCCCATTCGGCCCATGTATATAAACGGCCGGACGGTGGCAGTGCAGGGGCGGGTTGCCGTTCATAAACGGCGCCCACCATTTTAGCCTGTGCGAGCTCCCTGGGAAGACGAGGCACCGCGATCCGGAACACCGATCGCTGTAAGGGACCTCTGTCTGAGGTCCCAATCATGTGATCACTGACTGGCCAATCAGTGATCAAATGAATAGTAGTAAGCAAGATGTCACTTTCTGACATCATTGCTTACTACAAGTGAAATCTGTGAATGATCACAGAGATCACATGGTACAGGGCTGTTCACAATAGCCTTGTACCATGTGACAAGCTGTGACCAATCAAAGCTCTCACAGTATTTCTCAAAGGCTGCAAGAATGCAGCAAGAGAGAAGGAGAAATGATTGCTTTTATAGCCTTTATGGCTGTAAAAGTAATCCGTGTAAAAATAATCTTCATCACCCTCCACAAGTAGTACTGTGTCACTATGGTGACACTGTACTGCTAGGGCAGGGGTCCTCAAACTTTTTAAACGGGGCCAGTTCACTGTCCCTCAGACCGTTGGAGGGCGGACTATAGTTTAAAAAAAAAAAAAAAACTATGAACAAATGCGGACACAGTACAGGAGATGACCAGAGACTGCGGACATACAACGGCGGCGGTAATACTGGGTCCGGCCGCTCCATAAGACGCACAGACATTTCCCCCCAAGTGTGTCTTATGGAGCGAAATAGTGCTCCATCATTGGTGTCAGTGGGAAGAATCGTGTCCCATCATTAGTGTCAGTGTGAGGAATAGTGCCCTATCATTGGTGTCAGTATGAAGAATCGTGCCCCATCATTGGTGTCAGTGGGAGGAATAGTACCCCATCATTGGTGTCAGTTTGAAGAGTAGTGCCCAATCATTAGTGTCAGTGGGGGGAGGAATAGTGCCCCATTATTGGTGTCAGTGGGGGGGGGAATAGTGCCCCATCGTTGGTGTCAGTGTGTGGGGGGGGGGGGATAGTGTCGGTGTCAATGGGGGGTGTGGAATAGTGCCCCATCGTTGGTGTCAGTGGGGGGGGAATAGTGCCCCATCATTGGAGTCAGTGGTGGGGAGGAATAGTGCCCCATCGTTGGGAGTCAGTGGGTGGGGGGGGAATAGAGCCCCACTCGTTGGTGTCGTAGTGGAGGGTAGAATAGTGCCCCATCGTTGGTGTCAGTGGGGGGAGGAATAGGTGTTGTCCCATCATTGGTGTCAGTGGGGGGAGGAATAGTGTCCCATCATTGGTGTCAGTGGGGGGGAGGAATAGTGTCCCATCATTGGTGTCAGTGGAGGAATAGTGCCCCATCATTGGTGTCAGTGGAGGAATAGTGCCCCGTCATTGGTGTCAGTGGGGGGAGGAATAGTGCCCCATCATTGGTGTCAGTGGGGGGAGGAATAGTGCCCCCATCATTGGTGTCAGTGGAGGAATAGTGCCCCAATCATTAGTATCAGTGACACCAATGATGGGGGCACTATTCCTCCCACTGACACGTAGACTTGCTGACCCCTGCTCCAGCCTAGGTGCTACTGCACCCAGCATACCTGGTTTGCAGCAGCACCATCAGCACGGCACACTTACCTGTCAGCTGTCCTTCTTTACTCCGGGCCTCTCCCTCACTCGATGTTCGCGGGCTCTCCGCTCGTCTCCACCTCCTCGCAGGTGATTGGCCGCCTCTGTGCATTTTCCTGAGCTACAGTTCTGGCGCGCCCAAACACCGGTGAGGAGGCGGAGCCTAGAGCTGAAAGGAGTGAGGGAGTGGCCGGAGTGGAATGAAGGAAGAGCGCTTTCCTGGACTGGATCATCGTGGGACTGGGACCGGAGCCCAGGGTAAGGTACAGCAGGCCCCCTGCCCGCCCCTGTACTTAGTGTCCCTTCCTGTCCCGCCCCTGCCGGCGGGCCGGATAAAATTGGCCTCGGCGGGTCGCATGTGGCCCCGCGGGCCGTAAATTTGAGGACCCCTTTGCTAGGGTGACAGTATGTTAAAAAAAAACCCTACATAAAATAAAAATGTAAAAAAAAATTTAGAAAAAATATAATTTTTGGTTATAAAACTAATTTGGATTATTTTATATTTTAAATAAAAAGATAGATGAATACATTTTGGCCAAAGATTTACAAAACGAAAGAATATTTATTTGCAAAATTTTATCAGAAAAACACTTTTTCTTTCAAAATTTAGACTTTTCCATTTATATAGAAAAAAAATCAAAATCCCAGTGATGAATAAAAAATACCACCAAAAATAAAGTTTTATCTCTCTCAAAAAAAATTCATAATGGGTACAGTGTTGCATGACTGCGCAATTGTCATTCAAAGTGTGATAGCGCTGAAAGACTGAAAATTGGCTGGACCAGGAAGGGGGTGGATGAGAAAGTGTCGGACTTGAAGTGGTTTAAAGGGGAATCATTTTCATGTGCTTTTGTTTGTGATGAAGATGCGTTTTAGCACAGAAAAGCGCATTAGTGGAAAGGGGCCTTTACCCCCCCCCCCCCCCGTCCACATAAAAGCAGATTTTTGAATTTGTGTGACTTTACAGTGAAGTAGCACGGTTCAAAGTCGGGTGACCTGCTGATTTCTTTGCGATTTGCCAAGACGTCTGACACAGATGTAAATCGCACCAAAAGTAGTGCAATGTAAGTAACTGTAGAAGAATGGGTAGTCTCTGACCAAGTCAGAACCGCACCGATAGGACCCGCTCTAATGAGCAGACAATAGGACTGTGGACTTGGCCTACGATTTGCAATTCGCCTGGCATGCAACTCGCACCCGATGTGACCGGGGGGTTTAGGTAAATGACTCAATGTGCCATCTTTTTACAGGCATGAGTCGGTGCACAGGTGTTGCATCCATCCCCATGCCAGCGTCCCGATTTTAGTTCTATTGGCGACACGTGGCTGCATGGGACACGGCTGCTGTGGCCTTATCTGACATGGTGGTTGCGGGTCCCCCAAACGCACACACTGTTCTGAACATTCAGTTTAAAAAAGATGGAAAGTACATTCATAGAAACAAGTTGTGCAAAATCTTACAGTTCCATTTCCTTTCAAAGCAGCCACGGCCTGAGTGTGCGTAGCCAGTCCTATAAAAGGACCTTTGCTCTGTGTTTTGCTGGGGGCCAAATCAAACCCTAACACAAAAAAAAAAAACCCGAAGGAATCGTGCCCCATTCAGGAAAAGGGTTTGCTTATACAAAGTATTCTTTGCTATAAGAAAAAGGGTGAAAAAAAAAAACCCATTGTACTTTTTTGGAACATAGTGAAATATGAAAAAAAAAAAATATAAAAAAAACAAAAAAGGGTGTGTAAAAGGGATGGCCCCGGGGAAAGCAGACGCTCCTTTTAAAAGCTCCCCCCCGGATCCTCCCAATCCGCTCCACCCGGGGTACGGGGGGCTCCCCAAAGATGGGGAAACCCCGGGTTTCCCCCCGGATTTCCCCCCTTGGCCCCCCCCCCCTTTAAGGGGGTGTCGGGGTTCGGGCCCCCCTTCCCGGGAGCATTTGGGGCGCGGGGGGGGTTTAGGCCCTCCCCGCGCGTGTAAAGCCGCGGGTTTCCTGGGAACCCGCGGTTGGGAGGATCGCCGCCCGCGGCCGGACCCCCCGCCCT